ATAAAGTAACTTGAGTTGAGATATAGATGAATAAACAATTCCGACTGATACGCGATCAAGATGTTAACGTTGGCAACGTCAACTACCGGATTATTAGTCTTTGTTTTCTTTGATTACTACTACAAAAAGAAACTCTATGGCGATGAGATCATGTATGTATGTACATACCATTGGCATATTGGTACTCAATTGTTTTGGTCTCTCTCTCCCATGACTTCCATTTCTTCATCTACATATTACATAACCATATATAGATTAAAAAAAATTAAACACATACAAATATATGAATGAACTTGTACAAAATACATAGAGTAGATCATGTACCTTGGTCTTTCCTAAAGCATAGGTTATAATGCAGTAGAGAACATGAAAAACAGCGAGCACAAAGATGAATATATGCAGCTGGTGGATACCATAAGCAGATACTAATGCTACTTTCCCCTGAAACAAAAAAAAATGAAATCAGATTCCGATATATATATATATATATATGTTTTTGCTAAACAAAAAAAATGGGAAATTACTATAATCAGTAAGTAAATATGAGACTTGCCTTTTCTGCACATTTGTCATAACCCTTGGTGGCTAAATTTCGGCGAGGACTATAAAAGTCTTTGGAGTCAATATCTTCAAGAATTTTGCGGCCATCGTCGATATAATCTTTACCGTATTTAGCAATTTCTTGATGGTTGCTACAAGGATGCCAAGTCGCAGCAATATTTCTTGGAATGCAAATCTGGGAGACTGGTGTTTGCAATACAACCAATAGAAGCGATATGAATCCCAGAAGCATCAACTCTATTTTCATCACAAACCAACAACAACAAAAAAAAAAAAAAAAAAAAGTTAGTCGAGAATCCAAATAGAGAAAGATCAATCATATTGTCATATAAAAAGTCGTCTTTGATGACAATTTTTTATTAAATAGTGAACTTGCCTGCTTTAACCTTTTCAAGAGCTTCAGATAAAGCTTTCTTGTGCTTCTTTTTAAACCACTACAATAAGTGAATAGAAGAATTAGAGATTAATTATGGGGTTACGGAATAAATTTTGATTTCCTGGTTAAGAAAAAGCGAGATGATGCATTAATAACCTTAATATGCCGAAGTAATATAGTAATTAATGAAATTAATTAATGTGTACTTTCGTATCACTTGGAGAAAAGCAAAAAGAGAGAAAGGAAGATTTGGAAATATAAAAAATGGAAAATATACGTACGTGACCAACAAAGTGCAAGAAGTATTCGATCATGATGGAAATGAAAAGGAGAACGAAGCAAACAACAGCAACAGCCCATGTTGGTGTCTCCTCCAACGATCGCTCTTTTATTGCCATTAGTTTCACTGCTCAGAACTCAAAAGCTTTTTTGTTAAACTTTAAACTCTTAAGTTTCTTAGCTTTTAGGGTTTGGCAAGTTTTATCTATAAGGGGAAAAGGGGAAAGAAAGTGATATGGCCTTTGTTCCTGTTATGTCTCTATATATATATTGGAATAGAAACAAGATGCATATGTTTTTTCTTTGGAGAGGGAATTATAAAAGAAAGTCAAACAAGTGAAAGCCGCAATTATTTATTATAAAAATAAGAGAAACGAAGACTTTTGACTAATTCAAAGATAACGACTTGAGATGAAGTGAGATGAAGATAACGCCGTGTGAACTTAGCTACCACTTCTTATGGTATATATACCTTAAAACGATTTTTTCAATTTTAAAAACTAAATTTAGTGTTCGGTCGTTGTGATAAAGACCGAAATTTTGTTCATGAGGCGCATTCATATTTTATGACTTTATGGTACGATCAAAGAAATGATTTTTTCGCAGTTATTATTAATGTCTGCAATGTTGAACTGAAAATATTTTTTAACATATCATAATAATCTATTGAATGAGGTTATATAAAATGTTCTTTTAAGAAAAACGAAGTGAAAGAATCTCTAAACCAAAGTATGGTGGGAAAATTTTCCATGCAAAAGAGATTAGTTTATCTACTTTTGGCAATAAAATAGTGGCCAAGAGTTAAACGAGCGATTTTTTTTTTTTTAATTTTTTTTTGCTTGGGGTAAAAACCGAGCGAAAATTGAAGCGGTCATTTAATGGTTGATATTCCATTCTCAGTTCTTGTTAACTAGGTACGTGGTAAACATGTCACAAAATCCAGTATGATTTATTTTAAATCATGTATTAAGTTTAAGTGCATGTAATATCGTGTGCTATGGGTTGGACGACTATTCATCTGGAAAAAGTTATTAGTTATGTATGTTGTTGGTCAAGACGTTGGATCATCATTGATAACAAGTATGTTAAGATATTTTCATAAATATTGTTGTGTATATATTGATATTACTAAAAATTAAAAAAAAAAATCAAATTGTGATAAGTGAACTCAAGCAAGGTGGGCTTAGGACATAGTTGCCGTTACAGGAAATCCGGAATTGATTATCGTCTCATGTGTTAAACCTACCTGTTGTTGTTAATATTGAAATTTTAATTTTTCTTTGTACCCAATTAAAAATTTACAGGTTGGCAGTTACATTTTTTTCACCCATAATGAAGGTATGCAATTTTTTCTTCATATGAAAAGATGAAACTGAAAATATCTTTAAGCGTGAGGTAAAACTTATCGTGAAGTCAAACTTAATCAAAGCTGGAATTGGAAGTACTTTAATTTGGGTTGACTATGATAATAGTTTCTTAAAATAATTATGGGTCTGCCTTGCATTTCTTGATTGATTTATACAAAACGATCAGTGGCTTATAGAAAGGACTTGAAACCCAAGGTGACTAAAGAAAGAAAACACTCACTAACGGTATTTACAAATTTAAAATCATGAAAAGATATTCTTTAATTCTTACTTCCAATCTCGATGGAACATTTACCATATTAACACAATGGCCATGATTGTTATTTTTCAACTCAATTTTGATATGCCTGTCCAACTAATAGTACTAGCCATATTTCAATCAATTTGTTTTCTAAGTAAACTAATAATACTTTATCAATATAGCCAATACCACAGTGAAATTCCATTTTTTATAAGAATGAAATAAATTTTAGTATTAATACAGTGACCATGATTTTATGGTTTTATCCTAGAAAACTTATTTTCACCAAGTTAGAGTTGGAACTTGGAACTTCAATAGAATAGTGTACTTTCACATTTTCACTCTCAGCTGAAAATTGATAAAATAATAGTTTAACCGTTTCATCATGAAGTTGAAAAATTAAATAATTTATTATTTAAAAATAGAAGTTTAGAGTCAACTCAAATCATATTGACATTGCCGATTTGTACTGATGTAAACTTCCTATGCGTTGACCCTTTATTGGTAAGGTTGTGGTGTAAAATCATGTGTCCATCTTTGTTTTGACCCCTAGTTCCAATTTTTCAATCTTAACCGATCTCATATGGTTTCCTTCTTTGAATTTTGTATTCTTTGTCCACATATATCGTTATCCAATATAAAATTTTGAAAGTCATCTCTAAAAACGTGTTGTTCCCTTGTTTTTTTCTTCAAGTTGGGCAAATATTAATAGTTAGTATTCAATTCAGAATAATCTTAACTAAATTCAGATATAATCTATAAATTGATTAACAGTTTAATATTTCTCCAAGTTGGACATATAACAATAACTAATCTTCATGTGATTAAAAATTATATCCATGCAGTCTTAGTCTAGATTAAATAGCACCACTTAAAATTTTCATGATTTAGAGTATGGTTTGGTTTTTCTTGTTTGACCGTCGCGTCCATTAAGTTTCCTTGAAGAAAAAAACAGAGAAATTGTAGTCTGTTATAAACCATATAGATGGACTCCATAACCGACCCATGGCCCATTAGGTTTTTGCCTTATTCTCTGTATCCTGCTATTATCCTTGTATATATATCCCTTATTCTATTAATGAAAGACACAGTTCACAACACGTTATCAGCACGATAGCCTCTTACCCTAAAAAAATTAAAAATTCCTGAAACCCTAAATCTCTCTCACAAAATCCAAAATCATGCCGTCTTTGTTCCTCAACGATATCGCTTATCTCTCCGTCTCGTTTTCTACCGAGCTAAGTGTTATTACTCATCATAATACTTAGACCTCATTAAGACATTCATGCTTTAGTGCTCTATTGTTTAATTATTGAAATCGATACTTTATTGTTTGTTTATCTCATGCATCGATTATTGCTCGTGTATTTAATATCTGTTTGTATACTTTATTGATACATGGTTTTATATATCCATGACACAAACTTATTATGTATTCGTCATCCACATATAATAATCGTTTAGTTAATTCACGGAAACACATGTTTTATCATAGATTTTATTCATGAATCAACCGATTCATGTAGTCACGTTTGTCATGATGGTCAGTTTAATAAATCGATGGTGTAAGTTCTAAAGTTTAATTCACTTTATAAATTATAATGATCACTATGGTTACGATGCATGATCCCATGGCTTCATATATTGTTTTCATCGCCACATGTCTCAGTTGTTTGATTCATTATTTTATTGTTTAGTAATTCGTTTGGTTTGATAGCACCAACAATATTAAAAGAATTTAATCTTTAGTAGTGATATTAAATAGGAAACTAAAGATGGATTTTTTTTTACTAATGTAATAGCCATGTTTCCATGAGCAAAATTTTGAATTTCTCAGAAATCAGGATTATATATATTGAGATTTTGTAAGAGGTCCCAACCAGCTAAGAGACATAACTGTTTCCAATCTCCGTATCAGATCTCGGGTCTCTGTTTCAGTTCTCCAATTAAGATAAGTGCTATTTGTTTATTATGCTTTATATACATGATCCAATTAAAGTTTGATAAGATAAAATTTGCATGAAAATTGGCACATGTGATTTGATTTATGATTGGAGAATTAATTGAGAAGTTAGTGAATGGAAAGATGTTTAATGGCATGATAGATTTAATGTTTTAATATAAACCCTAGGTTAAACCGAAAGTAAACCGAAACCCTAAATCCTAGGTTAAACCGGTTTAATAAACCCTAAGTCATGGTTTAAGATCAAGCTTCCTATAAATGGAAAGTTTCCAGAAATAGAAAGTTCCATATAAAGAAAGTTTACAGAAATAGAAAGTTTCGTAAAATAGCAAGTTTCCCAAAATAAAAGGTTTCCTAAAATAGCAAGTTTCCCAAAATGGAAAGTTACCAAAATAGGAAATCCCTTCATAAGGAAATATTCCAAAACCCTAAAGTACATAATTGTTTAGGATTTCTTTCTAGATGAGAAATAGAAATTTTCCATAAAAGGAAAGTTCCATATAAGGAAAGTTTCCATAAATAGAAAGTTCCATACATAAAACCGAAATCCTAGCAAAAACCCTAGTACTATAAATCGCGGATGCTGAAACCCTCAAACTTAACCGCGAAATCCTAATATCCTAATCTAGTATGATCCGATTGTTTGGTTGTTGCATACTAGATCAATCTTCTAGGGTTGATTTCATCCATATATATATATAACATGATTGTTTAGAAAACACTTGCTGAAGACAAGCATGGCTCGTTCTCAAATACCGCATGACTTGGTCTAACCGATTACATGAGTTCTCATTTAACTCTATATATTATAGATATCAGAAATCAACTATTATGAATACACGGCACTCAATGCCTCTGGTGACAATTATTTAAAATGGGCTTTGGACACTAAGATTGTCCTAAAGGAAAAAGGGCTTGGTGAATCTATTATGGAAGGAAACAATGTCACCATAAGAGAAAGATATAAGGCGATTACTAACATACGCCATCACCTCAATGAGAGTCTCAAAATCAGTACCTCACTATTAAGAATCCTCTGGACCTCATGACAGAGTTGAAAAAAAAAAAAAAAAATCAATATAACCACCAAAGAACGGTGCTATTACCCAAAAGCCCGATTCGATCGGGAGAATCTCAGATTCCAGGAATTCAAATCCATGAATGAGTATAACTCAGCACTATTTAAAATAGTGTCAATACTGAGATTCCGTGGTGAGGAAGTTACTGAGAATGACTTGCTAGAAAAAGCATTCTCGACCTTTCATACAAACAATATATTGTCTCAGCAACAATATCGTGAAAAAGGTTTTTACCACATATGCAAGTCTAAACTCTTGTTTTTGGGGAGGACTCCTCTGTAGAGAGTGCTAAGGAGTGAGGCTTTGGAGAAACCGTGATGAGAACATTGATTCTGATATGCTACTTGCTGAGCAAAACAATGAGTTATAAATAGTGAAATGAGACCTCCTGGTCCTACCCCATTATCAGAAGCCCGTTGGGCTGAAGAGCCTAAAGAGCCTAAAGAGCCTAAAGAGACTAAAGAGACTAAAGAGTCTAACCACGTCCAAAGAGATAAGTATCATGGCCACAGTCATGGTAAATGGAATGAACGTGGTAGAAGTGGAAATTATAATTTATATGATCAAGGAAACTATTCATATGGTTAAGGCCA